CCGCCGCGGCGGGCCCGCGCGTGGCGGCGGCGGGGGCTGTGGACAGTGCGCACGCAGGCGTCGTCGGCGCCTCGGCCGCCGCGGCGCTGTCGGCGGCGGGCGGCCAGGTGCTCCCCGGCCTGCTGGGCGGCGGCGGCGTTGAGGTGGCGACGAGCTCGGGGGCGTTTGCTGCCTCGCGGCGGATGGGGACGGCCGCGGTGGGGGCGATGGCGCTCGAGCTGGTTGAAGATGAGGGGTCAGACAACGAGGGCGGTGCGGCCTCCGGCCGTGTCAAGGCCAGCAGCGGCCGCGCCAGAGCCGCGGCCGCCGCTAGGGCGGCGCACGGCGTGCAAGGCAGCAACGTATGGCGGCGCGTGTGGGAGGAGGGGGGGCGGCTGGTGCTGGTGGTGCACGATGAGGCGGCGTCCTCCAAGCACAACCTCGTGGAGGTTGAGATCATTAGGCGCATCATGGAGGTGAGGGCCGGGTCACTTCAAGAGTCGCATGCTTATCGCCCACTGGGAGGGGGCAGATGATGAGAAGCGGTTGTGGCGGGCTCTGGCCACCGAGTCTGTTTGTAAGGCTGGGTGAGGCTCTGGCTGTTGGTTTTCAGCCACTCCATAGTATCAGCGTCCTGCCATTCTAGGGTGGGCAAGCAGGAGTTGCAAGTGGCCCGCCCCCATCACCTTCCCCTTTGCCGCCATCGCCAGGCGGCGCCAGAGGGGGAGCTGTTCCAGCCTGGCCGCGTCGCCGTCATGAGCCCCCATCGCGCACAGTGCGGCGCCCTCAAGCGCGTGCTCGCGGCGCCGGGCGACCCCGCCGCCCCCGGACGCCGCGGCGTCGGCGACGCGCCCGGCGGCCTGCCGGCGCACTTCAAGATGATCGACACCGTCGAGAAGCTGCAGGGGCAGGAGGCGCCCGTGGTGATCTACGGCGCCACCGCCAGCTGCCCCGCGGCCCTCGCCGCCAACAGCGACTTCTACTCCAGCCTCCACCGCTCCAACGTGGCCCTGTCGCGCGCGCGGGAGCGGCTGGTTGTCGTGGTATCAAGCGGGATGCTGGGGTTTGCCCCCGGCAGCGTGGGGCAGTACAGGGACCTCGGGCTCTGGAAGGAGCTGCGGCGCGCGTGCAGCGCAGCGCTTGGGGAGGCGTCGGCGCTCGGGCATTGCGTGCGCGTGTTTGCCGCGGCGCCGGCGGTTGC